CCCCCTGGCCCCTGGACCCCTGGCCCTCACTGTCCCATCCTACAGACAGATGAGGCCCCAGCGGAGAGGGGAGGGTTGGAGCTGGGACCTGCACTCAGGCCTGCGCTGTTTTCAGGCGACGGGGCTAGATGGGGCCGCAGGGTGAGGCTGGGAAGAGCTGCGGCAGCTGAATTCTCCTTTACGGGGGTCCCCTCCCCTTCTGGGGACAGTTCTAGGCCATCTCTATCAGCAACAACAGTAACAATGATAACAGCGACAGCAAAGGGGACCATCGCCCAGCGCTCTGGGGGTGCCGGCCCTGTGCTCCTGCTGTCCTCCCGGGACCGTCCACACCCACCCCGGCCCTCTGCTCCGTGTCACGGGGCAGGAAGCTGAGGTTCTGGGGTGCGACAGCCCTAGAAAAAGGCCGCATCAGGATGTGAACTCTGCTGCTTGGCCTGGCTCACACTCCACACCGTCCAGCTGGGACCAGCCCCCGCCTCCGCTCCCCTGCGCCCGGAGCAGGACCCCGAGGCCCGTGGACCCCGCGTTTCCCGGGATCAGATTGCGAGAACCCGCCGGCGGGGTGTGAACTGAGCCCCATCTGCAGCCTCCGCTCTCGCCAGGCTCTCTGGAGCCCTAGGTGGGTCGTGGGGGGAAGCCACTTCCCAGCACCCCTCCCGCTGGGCTCTTAGGGAGCACGGCCCCCATTCAGTTTAGCTGAGCACTTACTGTGCGCCCAGCCCCGTGACCATAAGACACCTTCTCCGCCTGCAGCAGTCCCCGAGGAAGAGGCAGACCTAAGAGCAGCGGCCTCCACGCCCCGCTGCCCGCTCCTCCCACCTCCCTCGGTCCCTGCCGTCCTGACCGCGGGGCTTCCTTATGCTCCCAGGGCTGTGCCTGTGCGTCCACCCATGTTCCTCTCTCCGCCTCAGCCTGCCGCCCCCTCCCGCCCTCCTTCACACTCGGCGCCCACACTGCCGACTCAGAGAGGCCTCCGGGGCCCCTCCGGGCTGGTGGCTGCCCCTCCTCTGGGCCCCAGAGCACTCAGGGTTTATAAAGCTCCTGTCCATCCACGCCACAGGCCTTCATTTCACAGCCTCCCCCGCGCCAGGCGCCGCTCCAGCTGCTGGGACGCAGCAAAGCCGCTGACCAGCCCTGCCCGGCCAGCTTGCACACCCCGTCCACTGGCGGAAATCCTGGAGGGCTCCCCGGCTCCTCAGCGGAGGTGGGCTCCTGACCGTGCCAACCTCACGCACCCACGAGGCCCTCAGTAAACCTCTGTTGGATACGGGGCGCACTTCAGGCACATGCCCGGGAGGAGATGCAATCTGGGGGATGCGGGAGCCAGCGACCGATACGTCAGGAGCACAGGCTCTGGGGTCAGGGGGCGCGACCTCAAACAAGCTCCTTAACCCCTCTGTGCCTCAGTTTCCCCATCTGAGAAATGGGCTTGCGATACGAACTACCTGCTGGCCCTGGCAGGAGGGTGGAGCGTGTTAATATCTACGGAACTCTGAGACCAGGCCTGGCGCGTAGCAAAGGCTTATGCAGCACTAAATAGTCACGAAACACACGAAAAGCAGCCGCAGACTGCACGTCCTGGATTCCGATCCCGCCTCCGCCAGGTCCCAACCCGGTGGAACCCTGGGGAAGTCATGGGCCGAGGCTGAGCCCGAGTTTCCACGGTGGAGAACCGGAGAGACTAAGAGTACTTCCCTCGCGGAGATGCGTCCCCTGAGATCCCAGGAGCCCACACGCGGAGCGCGCCCGGCTCAGGCCTGGCCCCGGGGAAAGACTGAAACACAGTCCTTCTAATGAGGCAAAAGCAAGACCCTGCCCTGGAAGGAGAAGGAAACAGTGGCCTCGGCTCGCTGCTCAGATGCCACCTCCTCCAGGAAGCCCCCCGGGCAATCTGGGCTCCCCCCGCTCTGAACTGCTGGGACACTTGTCCCCGTGCCTCCAAGGGGCCTTGGCTTTACATTCCGGTTCCCGAAGGTGACCGGCTGTGGGCACTGCACCTGCACCTCCCGCCTCCGAGTCTAGTTTGTTTGATCTGCAACCGAGATCAGATCACCCTCAGTGAGTGTCTGTGTGGATGAAACTGGGAGACAGTGTCTGCCTGGCGGTCTGCAGATCCTCCGCCAACGCCAGTCCCCGCCCGGCCTCCAGCCGATGAGGGTCTGATTTAGCTCTAACTCCCAGACACCGGGCGGCAGGCGAAAGGACCACTGGCCGGTGAAGGCAGGCATGAAGGGGGGACCCAGGCGTGCCTCAGGCGTAAAGGAGACGTTTTCCAGGACGTTTCCACCCTCCACGCTGCCCACTCCCTCCCCCCTCACCTCCCACCACGGGGCCTTTGCACAAACAAGACAGAATTCCCTTCATTCCCTCCCTCCTGCCTCCAGTGCCCCCTCCTCCCCGCAGCCAGCCCCGGTGCAGGCCCTCGTCTAAGGTCGCAGCCCACAGTCCTTGGAAGCACGTTTCTGCAGGGGGGCGGGTGCTTTCCACAGTTGCTGTGACCCCACTCGGCCATGGGCCCCGTGGGAACAAAGACGGGGTGTTTTGCATCCCCAGGGCGGGCTGCGGGCTGAAGAAACCGCCACTGAGAGTGGGGAGACCAGCTCCTGGTTGGTAAGAGCTGCACCCCGGTCCTGCTCTAAGCCGCGCAGAGGGCTGCCTCGGGGCGTACGTACCTCCGTCACAATGGAGTCCCCGGTGCTGCTGTTGTAGGCCCAGCCGTCCAGGCATGGCTCGGTGGCCCCCCGGGTGTCGTTGGGCAGGCTGGCGTTGGGTGGGGACACGAACCGGAGGCAGGGCTCGGGCTTCCCGCTGGGGCCCAGGGGGAGCAGCCAGG